GAACATTATGCAAACCATCCCGTTCGCTCCAACGCGAGATAACATTACGGTATTGAAATCCCATTTTTTTGAAAATAACTGCAGTTGCAATAGAAGTTTGGGGTTGACGTGCTAGTAGTATGTCAGTTCTCCGCTGTGTTGGGCACATGCCAAACAAACCGCGATGAGATGATGCATTCAGGGGCCACTCGACCTTCCGAAAAGGTGTCGAATGCAGCAGCGCAACTAAAAATTGCAATTGGAGTTGTCTAGGGAAAAGAGATACTTTGAGCGATACCGACTTTTTTTTAGATTTTCGCCATATGGACGTACCTCGCATCGTTCACCTACATGTATCAGGGTCTTATGATTACCATCATATACTGCTTCACCAACAAAGAGGTGACTCTCGATTTGAATCTATAAAACCACATTTAGGTGCTAATTCAAAGTGAGTGCTAAGAGGCCTTATTTTTGTGAAATCGACAATGACGAGTTATCGTTTGCCGTCTTATTTTTGTACCACTGACTTTTTTTCATTTTGTTTCTAAGCATCTTTCTCAAACGTCGTCCGACCAATGATCAAGTCGTCCTTCTGATTAGCCTGGTGTTGAGTGCTTGAGTGCTTCAGGTGAACACTGTTCTGAAGGCGTTCTACGACCGCTATCGCTTGCAACACACAAGTCAACACGAACTGCGCCGAGGGTCGCGCTCAATTGCGTCTCACTATCAAGCTCGGAATGGCCAGGTGACTGGAGTAAGTTCTCGAACCGCGCTAATGCTGTTAGCGAGTCCCTGGATTATCTGCATATTTCTCGACCTTGGTGCCCAGCAAAAGTTTGAAAAATCAAAAACAATCAGCATAAAAGGAATCCGCTGTTTTATGTTGGTTGCAACATAGAACGCGGATTCCTTTTATGCTGATATGGTATTCTATGCACAACCTTTTTTTGGGAAACTTCCTGTGCTACGGGAGGAAGTACTTTCTCTACTCTACAATTGTTTACTTGTTATTTTTTTCTGGACCTTAGTTATAATACACAAATGTGGTGCTGTTGGGAAATCCAGACGGCAGCGGCGTCTTCGATTTTCGGCGTCTGCGATTCTTTAGTTTTCATATAGCAAAAGCTGCCAAAGTGGAAGTTCTTCAGAATTCGTCGTGACCGGAACCCGGCTTTCAGGACCTTTCTAAACCCATTCCACCATTTCCGTTCGATTTTGGACCATCTTTACGTAGTAATTAATAGAGAATAATCGGGTCTTCATAGATAGACTCAATATCCTTTCTTACTCTTAATCCTATATTTTTTTTGCGAAATGCTGTCGAACTAAAAATAAAATCAAGTAGGTCATCACTTATCAAGTTAAGGTTTTATGCATTGTTTTGAGCTCCTGTCTCTTATGTATTGTTTTGCCCTCCAGAATAACTACGTGTCAACCTGATAAATTTGTGACCTCCTTAGACAAAACTGTATAAATGCGGTAAACGACTTTGTGCTCAATAACGTGAAGAGCGTTGCAAAATGCTGCCATATTTTCTTAATCTAGGGTGGGCTACTTGAAACGGGTGGATGAGACCGATATGAAAAGAATTTTAGACTAATTTGCTTAGCAGGCGCAACAGGCAGTTACTTATCGTTCAAGTTTAAAGGCAGTGATTACGATAAGTTCAAGAAGCGTATATAGGAGAATGGTGGTGCTCTATAGTATGCCAGTGGCAAAAAAAAAACCGGAGAAATCGTCAAGAAGAACCCAAAACGGGACCCCCTTTTAGGCCGTTGGTTGCTTCATGGAATGGAAAGGTAACAGCTTAGAACAGACGGTGATTGTGACTGGCGTGAGTTTACCGCAACGCATTTGGCGGTACCATCCCAAGCCACACTCCGATCGAGCTGCCCCGCTTGTGCCTTCGCTGGCAACGCAGCTCGTCCAAATCACCATGTAAATTAGTGGGCGGATCTTTTTTGGGTGCGGAGTACTTTCAAGGTCCTGCTCAGCAACCAGCGCATCCGTTCGTCGTGGGAGCGCCACATCTCGCTTTTGCCTTGGCAGCCAAGTAGCTGCTTCGTGTGTTGCATATGCTTCCCCGATGCGCTCCCTCCTTAAATCGTAATTCGCTGTCTTTAAGGCGTTTCTATCAAAGTGTTTAGGGCTCTCACAAAAAAAAACTCCCAGCAAAAATTTTTTTTTTTTCAACTGCATCGCATGAGAGAGAAATGGAAAGCTCGACGTATTTGGACGATTTTGGATCCAAACACCATTAGATAGAGCCTGTCCCCATCCGTTTGATAAGGGAGCTATATTAATTCACGTTAACGGTGGGCACTCAAGATGAGCACGGATGGAAAGCCTTATCGGAGAGAGTGGATCTTCTGAACGCATATGTCCGTAAAACTTCACGAGGCTGTCGAAATACTCTCCAATTCAGAATCGCCTTGATGCGAATTTCTACGATAGTCAGCAGCAATTCAACAAACGCGAGCGTTTGTTGTGACTGAATGAGTTGGCGTGTCCAGCGTAATGGACAATTATATTTTCGTATTGCCATGAGTTGTAGGAAACAAATTAGACGCGAAATTGAATACTGAGTTTTGCTCACTTAAGCAATTGATTGGCCGATCCCGTCCGCTCTTGTCGCTTTGGGGTATTTACATGCGATTATTCGTGTGTCTACTGGGTGGAACCCCTTTTAATATTTCCGAGAGACGCATCGTAATGTTAGGGCCCATCTACACACCAAAAGTGTTGGATCTCGATGCAGAAATTGTTGAGACAGCGCTCGTCTCAAATCTTTCGATTGGACATACATAGAGTGTAAATTTTTGTTTGGTCCAGGGAAGGGATCTGAAAAAGCAACTCCATTCTAGAAAATTTTCTAAATGGGCTTTCTGTAGAAGTTGCAGCAGTACTTTAGCGAGTGAAAAAGCAGGTATACACTTTCGGAAATGACAAATTTTTCTGCCGAGAATTAGGGTGTCCCCCAACAGGCCCACCGCGCGGCGAAGCAAGAGACGCAGACGCGGCAAAGGGACGAGTCGCAGCGCATACTGTAGCGGTTAGGCGTCAGGTTAAAGAGAGTGTACCACATACTACGTCTCATATCGCACAGCACGCGCTGCAACTCGTCTCTTTGCCGCATCTGCGTCTCTTGCTTCGCCGCGCGGTGGGCCTGTTGGGGGACCCCCGGAGAATTACCTTCAAACACCTCTTGAGAAAGGCAGCAACTAAACACGATACACGCGGGCCATAGCTACCTACCATAAACAGTGCAAAGCCTTCCTAATCAATATGTCATCGTAATAATTGGAAACCTGCGCGAAAGAAATTTCCTATGCTGCACCCCCACGTAGAGCCGCAATCTCGCCAATGCGCTAACAGTGCGAGACCTCCATTTTGGTAGGGAAGGATTCTCGAAACCTTCAAGCTGTGCTCATGCATTTCGCAACAATGGTAAATTAAAATGTCTTGAAAATAGGGTCCAGAAGGACTCTAGTAACATCTGAGAATACCGCGCTCGATATATTCAGGAGAAAAATTAGTGAGGAGCGTGAAAGAAAAGTGGAAAGTTTGGAAAATTAAGGTGACACTAACTATGGACAATAACAACGGCGCATCCCTGTCACCATACACTCAGCGGTCGAAAAAAGGCAGTGGAGACTCAACAGCCAAGTTGATGCTCAGTGTGCCGGTAGGTCTTTGTTCTCCGTACTTTGAAATGATTCGAAAGATTAGAACTATCTCTCCGTTATGTGGGAAAAACTGACACGCGGATTTCACGATAAAAGGCAGCCCACTGGAAAATAAAAAGAGATGGTCCGTGATGCACGAAAGAAGAAAAATCCGGAAAAATGACCTAGAGCTCGACAAGTGCGGATTGATGTACTCTCATCGGTGGTGTCCTCTTCGGCGCTAACGCTTTCTCCGCTGATCGGCTGGAGACTCAAACACGATATACGCTGGAGAGGGCCGCCCCGCGCCAATAACGCACTCACTTGTGCCGCGGGAAGGCTATGCTAGATTGACGGGGCACATCCTTCGATGCGAATTGCGTGTCAGTCTGCACCCATAGGAGATCCACCTGTTCCTCTACTAGGTAACTTTCCCCTTCTTCGACCTTCGTCCTTTATCGCGGAATCATCTAAGCTGCTGTTTAGAAGACTTTTTATGAATTTCCAACTTCTAACTATCATACAGTGGTTATTGAACCATCATCCCTTTTAGGACTCGAATTTTTCTGACTTCTCTGTATTTAGCATTGCGGTGACGAACTTGTAAATAATAACGGTTACGGTGCAGCCAGCGAAAGAACTCCTTTGAAGACGCAGTGCGACTGTTCGGACGAACTGCGGTAAGCGTATCCGCTTGATGTTTCTTTTGTGTGCTTCAACGCCAGTGCTTTTAATATCGAGAGGAATGTGTATAATTGCTCGAAATATCCACTGGATGGGTTTTTCAAAATTACTTCAAAAACTAGCAGCCCTTTCCTTGGATCGGAATGGCAGTGGAGCCAATTTTCATGAAATTGCTCCGAGTTCTGCTCTCAAACTCTTTTGCGTTTAATTCTGAACACGAAAACGGGACCCAGTGTACTGGACGTCATGTCAGGAACTCCACAAAGTTTTGGTTTCAGGACGGCGTCGATGATAAATGGGCAACACATTACCTAACATCACTTCGGTGTTCACAGCTATGAACATCATCAAATTTTGAGCGAATTTCCTCCCTCAGCTCTTGCGTGCAACGAAGAATGATTCGCACTATGTATTTTATAGGAGATATTACTTACAGAGGATCGTTGAAGACTTTCTTTCTTCTAGTTTGTGTCCACAATTTTTCGACAGCGGTGAAACCGGCACGGGTCAAATTTTTATGTTTTCATTGAAATTCATATTATAGTGGCGTCTCTCACGTATCTATCCTCTTTGTTAACTACGTTTCGGTTTGCTCTACTCAGACATTTAGAAGCTTGACCCAAATTCACTAGAAACGAGTTGGAACTTCATTCCATAACAACGATTGCGAGTTGCGCCTGTTGATCCAGACCGAGTTTGGACCAATAGGCAACCGGGTGCTGTAGTTTAGACCGGCCGCCGGGGTTTGAATCTAGTAGCTGAGCTCTCTGCATGCCATCAGGTCCGTAAATGCGCTGTTTCTCCACGCTGGTGATACCTGATATGATTCGCACCTTTTCTCATCTTTCACCACAGGGAGTCGTAGATGTATGTCTGTTCTGTTGCGACAGAAGACGGAGTGTATAAAGGGAAATTTTTTGTTCGATGCGAAAACTCTGTACAAATTGTGGTTGTACAGCCTGAAATTCAGGACCAGTCCCTTTTGAGGAAATAATTTGCCACAGTTTCCCAACTGCAGTTTTGAAGTGATCTTGAATGTCTGAGCAGAGCTCTTCCGCCCTTCCGCACAATTCATGCCATAATGTACAATATCGCTCACTTCTTCGTCAATGACGTTCAGCATTAGATAGGCTTCTCACTCAAATAGTGCAGGGTCGAACTCAGGTGCTCGTTCTGTATGTCGATCGCACATCTATCTGAGCGGTTTCCGAATGCGTCGCTGGTCCCGAACTTTTCCTTCTACAGCTTTTGTTTGGAAAACAATCACGCTAATGAAAGCTTGGTGTGCAAAGCGATTCGGACACAGTGGTCAGATGATGGCGTCGATGCGAGCTTAACCCACGTTCGTTCATCACGGTTGTGTGTACGATTGTTTCAACGCACATCTGCCCTTTTCCTCATAATGATACTTCCACCCTTCGGGTTGGAACATAAATCGTGGCTTTTGGAGCATATAAATTCATTGAACACAAGTATAACCCAGAAAACAACTCACATCATATGAAAGCCGCTCTACTATATGTAACTTGTTCATCGTCCTCAATAATATAGTTGTACTCAAATGCAGTGTTCATAAACTGGAAGATACAGGCGGCAAAAATCGACATTTCGACCGCTGCTTTTCTTTGATTCGAGATTGGTTCATTTTCTCGACCTGAAGAAAAACCTACCAAAACGGAAGTCAACTTCGTCATCGACTTCGTTGAACTTACTCTAATGGACCTTACTTTTTCCGCTCAATTTTTAACTATATTTACATGTATAAGATTGAACAATAGGATTTTCGAGTAGCTGGATTCAGTACCTTTTGCCTGCAGACTGAATCAACGTTGTCCCTCGTTTGGCACATAGTACAAAAATAATTGCAGTACATATAACTAGTCTGTATGTCTATTTTCGATTTGCAATTTAAAGCCTACGCGAGCGCTACGATATCATGCTCCAACCCGATACAATCTCTGAGTGGAAGTACAATTATGAGGAGCTCTGGATTTATGGAAATAGCCACTGCTTAACGCGAGCGAATGCGCAGCGACAATTGTGGTGAACACAGCTCAGGACGGGTCCAAAGTGAATCGTGGCTGGCAATATTGATGTTTGAAAATTTTCTCCTTTCCTGCCACAGCCGCTTGCAGTTCATGCACTTGTTCCTATTGTTATAATACTCCTCTCGAGGAGCTCGGAGCGATTGTACCTTTTATGTTGTATTCGATTGCTGTTTGCGTTAAATGATTGGCTAGACGATACGAGTGATGGTTCGTGTTTTGCATGTGCACCAGCACCAAACGGCGAGTAGATGATCGAAGGGCAGACGTTCCTTTTACAACAATTGGTAGCAGCTTGTGCTGTGCCACGATTACTTTCTTAACGCTAGTGAGTAAGTGCTCCCTATTAAGCTGGCCGCAACAGCACCATAAAGGCCCGTCTGTGTTCTTCACAGCAAGCTGATCAACTCTCTCTCGAAAAAAAAAACTGGTCCCGTGGTAAAAGCGTTTATTTAGGCAACCACTTTGTTTGCTTGCAGCTACTAACAAGGTTAGTCAGCCCGGCTGTTTGAATTGGATATACTTATATAAGTGCCTCGAAATTCAAATCTACTTTCGTTACCTGAGGAACGATTTCCTGAGAGAGGTATTGGCGCAGGAAAGCGCAGTGGTAGCGACCTGAACTCACAAAAGCAAGAGGTCGCCGGATCGACTCCAGAGCGAGTCAGTACTTTTGCTCTATACAGGAACGTGGCTAAGGAGGCATTCATCATATTTCTGATAAAAGCAAAAGTCTGAGCTCGCTCCGAAATCGATGCGATGACCTCTTGTCTGTGAGTCAAAGTCACTACTCCTGCGCTTACCTGCTTTACAACTTCTTCAGGACATCGTTCCACAGACGAGTATAGTAGATTTGAACTCAGCGTCAAATAGCCGGACTGACCAAGTGACCTTTCCTGTTAGCAGATAAGAACATAAGAAACAGACCATGTTTAATTGAGTGCTGCCATCTGTCATATAGTGACTTGCGAATTCCAGTGAAATATTGAGGATTACCGGCTTATTCAGGTGAATCGCATAAGATTCGAAATCACTGTTCATATAACAAGCTTAACCCGTATGCACTGTAGGAAGATACAAATGTATACAGATAAATTCAAAATTAGTGTCTCGGAATGTGTCGGGTGCTTCTAGTAGAGACATCAGATGTTAAGATTCGCTGTCAGTTTTGTGCGACTGGTGGAGCATGTCCTCCGCATGGGCTTCTGTCCTTTCACGCCATTACGATGAGAGAATCCTGAATACAGGGGTAGAGATACAAGACGGCATGAGAAGTCGTTTATAATATAAGCTAGACTCGGAGCGTTCTTCCCAAACTTTTCTCCCCCAGTCTCCAAAAACGGGGAAAGGGACGGCTAGTAAGCTACGCAAGCTAATCGCTAGTTAAATTGTGAAGCTCAGTGTGTTACGAGCAAACATCCTCAAAGGCTTTATCGTGTTGTCAAGGCGCTCGCCTAAATCCATTTGGTTCATTCACATAAGAAACTGCCATATGAAACAGTAACAGGAAAGGTGACCGCTACACTGTTGCACTACATCTTTCGGAGTTCTGCGGATCTTCAGAGCGGCTCTTTCTCAACCCATCACACGTGGCCAAAGCGAGTTCTTCCAAACGTGGGTGCTCAGCAGGGAACCCGTCGAAAGACTTCATCCACTGTGAATTGTAAGTATAAACATACAGACAAATAGTTGACCAAAAAGTAGGAATCTAGGCTGCTCTAGTGGCGCGGCTATGGACGTGTGAGCATCGTTTGTGGCATATCTGACGAAAAACCTCATAAAATACGGTTCTTGAAATTAGCGCGTAGGAGAGATGTAAGTGGTGAGTTTTCGAGAACTTTTCCGTACGTATACCAGCTACTATTCATGGCATTTCCTCGAAGATTATTATGAAACATTTACTAGTTTGTACGGGTACAAGACATGCAAGCTCCAAAAAGACTTTGCTAGCGATTTGTTTCGTCCATGACTCCCTCGTCATCCATTTCGTGGTAGGCAGACATGCATATAAACCCGACACACCAACTATGCGCTTTACACAAGAGAAGGACTGTAGGTCGGCTGAGAGAGAAGTTGTGATTGTTCTTCAGACTACTTGGCTCGGATTGATTTACAACAGAAGTTCGTGGATAGAAGCCGTTGTTGGTACTTATCAGGAGGGTCCACAGGACATGAAGCACGCATTTTATACAGGCACACACACGGAAAACGAGGACGAGCTTTTCTAAACAATCCTGTCTAAAAAGGCGTGAAAAGATCTTCTTGTCTAGTGTAGTTCCGTAATTTCAGTATATGGTAAAGCATTTGGTATAGCATAGCATATGGTATGGCGTTCATATTGGAAGCGCTCGCATGTAACAAGGTTTTAGACAGGACCCACGAGCGCAAAAAACATAAAATCACCGACCTAACAGATTGCGTGCCGAATGTTCCACTGTGGGTGCGTTCTCAAACATATTTCGCCTTGCCAGGCTTCACAGGAGGTATTATATAGCGCTGCGTCAGCCAAAAAAGCTACCAAACTTGATTACAAACTCAACTGCTGCTCTTCGTAATGCTGAGGTAAACTTGGCCATGGTTCATTGATGGTCGAAATCGAACAATCCACACTTTTCTAAGCCTTATCACGTGACGATGTTAGCAACCCAGACCAGCCCCCACAATTACTTCTGAGTTTTGACACTTATGAATGAGTAATGCCTATAAAGGGTTTACAACAAATCAAAAAGATGCAGATTAAAGTTTCAAGAAATATTTCCAGTTACCGTACCTTTGAACTGCAGAAACAGTTCTCTCCCTTTTTCTGTATGTACGCCAACAATATGCAAGTGACGATTTTTAAGAAGCTACACACGGAGACCGGTCTGCTGCTAACCAGGAAGGATGAGAAGCCACAGCTGCTTTACAGAATGGCCCGAAAGGAGCCTTCTTCGCATACTCTTCTCTGTT